AGGGCCCCGTGTGGTTCCTTGTGTGATTGTGTTTCCATAGCCGTCTAGCTGCATGCAACAGGCATATCTCTTCAGATCCCCTGAAATAAACTAATGACTACGGAAAGGTTTTAGCGCCATGGCCCTCATCAATCCTGCAGTGTTTGGAAGTGACGGGGCACTGGCCGGCACAAGCTAATGGGACAGAAGTAAACACAGAGCGCCACGATGCTGCTCGGCTTGACTACTACGGCATGACTGAAATGCTTTTTCTTTTTTTTTTGGAAGTTGAGTTTGTGATCCCGATTTCCTATTTTAAAATGTTAGAAACAGATTTATATGAATGTTAGGCTTACATTGCATTATGGTGACTGTAGCATCCATCAAATCTAGTTTCTGCTGTAAATAATCAGCTAGGAAACTATAAGAAAACGCAGACTTTAAATTGCCCTATTAAAATAAGTGATATTACAATTTCCTCTTGATTTTAAATGCAAAACTATTTGTAGCTTAATCAATGATCAGAATGCATATTTCAGTATTTTTCTGCCCGCTAACCAACTGATGAATCATGCATTTCATCTCCACATGTAAATATTTTTATAGACTTTCATCTTACTTGTTGCCAACATTAAAATATGACAAATCTATGTGCTGCTTCTCCATTAGGAATGCTCTGTTAGTGAACCAGACCGGGGCAAGGAGCATCCATCACTGCACAGACAAGGCTTTCAGTGTGTGATCCCACTCACATAAACAGTCGCCCCCCCGACCATCACACACATCGACACATGTCTTTAATGTATAAACAGTCTATACACTCACACAAAGGAATGCATGCAGATAAAAGTTATGATAATATATACATATGGACTCAGACACACACATATGAGCACGTGCACGGAGAAAATAACAGTCAGTCATAAAGCATTATTAAGGTTTCTGATGTGGAACATTTATTTTTAAATAATCTCTGAGCAGAGCTTCATTAAAGGATCGGTTTAGCAAAATTTATTGCTCTGCTTTGTACCAACAACATCTTTGTACCTAAAAAATCTGTCAGTTGTAGCTTTTTTTCGTGTTTTGTCTCATTTTTTCCTCCTTCCTTTACATTTAGTCATATAACTTGATAAGCTTCTCGGTTAGTTCAAACAACTTAGCTCTTTCCTCCATAAACATGACATTTGACCATCTCCCCAGTTCTCATAATGATGAGTTTTGACAACTCAGGATATATTACATTAGATTAGTTTCTCTTTCCGGGGAGAGACCACCCTCACTAACTTCTGATTCACAGCCAGTCATTTTTTTCTATAAGCTGGCCTTAAAAATGTTCAGAAAAAGGCTTCAAGGCTTTCTCTTAGTCGGCTTTCAAGGGGTGAAGAGTTAAGGCCGGGTCGGGGTATCGGCTTGTACTTGCATTTAAGAGACATTACATGAATTTAATTTTCTTGCAAAATTCTTCAGGTCAATCAGCACGAGACATTTCAATTTGTAAAATATTTGCGTACCTCCTCATTACTGCTCACATAAAGTAAATAACTGCTGGGCTACAGAAATGCACCTCAGTCCCACAGTGTTCATACCTTCGTCTGAGGTCCTCAGCAACGGTTGCTCGGCAGCTGAACAGGTAGGCCCGCAGTGACTGGAGCTGCTGACGGAGACGCAGGACTATGCTCAGAGGCTCACAGTGTTCGTACAGACAGGGGTTAAGCTGCTGGATGTCCAGCAGTGGTTCTTCATACACAAACTCCAGGAACTCCTTGGCCTGTTTGGACACCTGGAAAAGTTTACATTAAAATGACTGCATCAAAGACCACTGACATATGAGGGATAATCCTGAGCTCAGACTTTAATGCTTGACAAGACAGAACAAGGTAAAACCTGGGTGGCTAATTTTATTTACCCCCCGCCCAGAGCTGCAGTAGCCATTTTCTGCTTTTTCTATTAATTGCTAATAATGTAAAAGAAGTATGGTTGGCTAGTTGAAAAATAATCCCATATTGAACACAAATCTAAGACCATGCTTTCTGGCAGTAGCTTAATATTTAGCGTACAGATGTGATAGGATCAATTTTTCTCCAGTACTTACTGGAAACCTGCAGATCTTTAACAGTAGTTTTACAGTAAACTATAAGCTAAAACATGACAAGGCTTTTTAAGCCCCAAAGACCCTCCTCTAATGATTCTGCATTAAAAATGTGTTTTTTCTTTCATATTTCTGTGTGTATGCTTTCATACCTTGTGCTTGCTGGTGTCCCAGTTGTGCAGCAGGCGTGCTGGGATGAGGAAAGAGTTG